AACATCACATCGACCGAGCTCCCAGTGTCGATGAACACCCTTTTTACGTTGAAACCTACCACCTCAGCCGTGATGACCAGTGCGTCATTGTAGGGTAGCAAAATCCCCTCCGTGTCTTCTGCTCGAAAGCTGATCACTGGCATTCGACCAGTTATCCCGACCTCCTCCCTCTTGCGTTTCACAGCTCGCACGTGCCCCTTTCGTGCATTATTTGAATCTCCATCCGTGGGCCCTCCTGAGATCATATAAATTGTGCCTCTCGTCACGGGCACCTCTTCTCTGAACTCCTCTCGATCATCGTTCTGTCGTCTCCTTCTCTCTTTTCTAGCGTCGTCTTCCCTATCATCATCCCTGTCACTCCTTGCCACCGAATTATCCTCCCTGCACCTTCTCCTTTCTTTACCCCGCGGTCGATCGCGGATGACGAATTCTTTCAAGTGCCCGGCCCGTATGAGACGCTCGATCTCATCTTTCAAGTGCCTACAATCCTCCGTGTTATGCCCATAATCCCTATGGAATCTGCAGTATTTATTCGACCTGGGCTTGGTCGGTCCTTCGAATCTCGCCGCTGGCCACGTGACCTCCTTGCTTTCCAACTTTTCCTCAATGGCCGCCAAGACTTCGCCCACCTGGGCGTTGATTGGAGTGAAATGGTTATATCTTTGGCCGTTTGGTAACCGGGGTCGTCCTTGCCAGCGTTCTTCTCGTCCCTCTCGGAACGAATTTCGCCCATCCCTTCTGGGCGACAACTTCTTAAAGGATCCACCTTTTGGGGAACTTTTCCTAGGCGATCTTCTCCTGGGCGAGCTCGGCCTTCCCTTCCTTTGCTTAGGTTTCACAACCTCCTCAAGCTTGGCAAACTCCGCTTCTGTTTCTTCTAAATTAATGTACTTCTTGCACCTCTTAAGCACCTCATCGTAGGTTCGAGCAGGCGTCTTCGCCAGTGACGTTCGACATGGTCCTGGTCGCAGACTCCTAATCAATCCTCCTGCCTTCACCTCGTCGCCCGCCGTGGGCACATCTAAACACATTTGATTGTATCGAGCAACATATTTCCGCAGTGACTCTTTCTCGCCTTGTCGCATCGCCATCAAAGTGAGGTATGTCTTCTCCTGGGCGACTGCGCTTGAATATTGATTAGTAAGTTGTCCTGCGAAATCCTCAAAGTCTCTG